AATTTTTATTATTGGTTGTTCAAAACATTACATAGTTCTTGACATATCATATTTCATACATTTGATTCAAGTGGGTTATGAACTCCCATTTTTACCCCGTATACAGATTGCAGAATCACATCGGTTACACATCCACTGTTTTACATATTGCCATACTAGTGTATGATGTATTCTGTTGCCTTTCCTATCCTCTACTATCCGCCCTCCCCTCCCCTCCCCTCCCATCTTCTCTCTCTACCCCATCTACTGTAATTAATTTCTCCCCCTTGATAAAACTATACTTTAAAACACAAGTTGTTAGAACAAAAGACTAGAAATCTTTCTGACTCGTTAAATCAATTATAGTACAGCCACACAATGGTGTGTAAGTATCTGTATAAAAGAATGAAGAGTAACTTCATATACAATCATGAAGTGAACACAAAATATATTCAAATAAGAAAAATCAAGGTGGAAAAATTGTATATAATATTTCCAATTTATGTATGACAGACGAGAGAATATTTATATAATATGCATGCATGTTTATATTAAAATAGGGGAGGCTAAGCCAACATGATTTTTTTAAATGTTCGCCTTTAGGGGAAGGAGCCAACAAGTGATGGGAAGGGAATAGAAAGTGAACATCCAGGCACATACTTTATTTTAGAGGCGAGATCCTAAAAGAATGTAAACATTTTTGCAATGGTAGAAAACAAAATAAAAATTTAAGTATCAATCCCTAAAAATCAAAATAAAATAAATAAATCTAAATATATTGAATCGACTAAACTACATTCACAGGAATCCATCCCTCCATCCAGTATGGTCCCCCAGACGCATCTGTAGAACCCTAGGACTCCTAAAGCTCAGTATGGAAGTCACCACTAACTACTAAGCATTTGCCTCATTTGTGTAGCAATTGTATAAACAAGGTATGGTGCTCCCTGTGTGTTTGTACATTCAAAAGATACACCAGAAAGAGAGAAAAACATGTTTTGAGAAACCTCACACACAAAGCTGTTGGCTCAAAACTCCCAGCGGGGACCCTGATGACTATCAGTGTGACATGCAGAGGTGTTGAAAGGCCCCAGTTCCTGCCCACAGAGCACACATGCTGTTTCCTGTTAGATTTGTGGCTGGGCCACTCTTTGAAGAACCTCCATTGCTCAAAGATCCTACTCTTAGAGAAGCTTTTGCTCAGAAATTCGGCTTCTCCTAATCCTGTATTTCCTTCTTTGTAGCTACATTTCAAGTCAGAGTAACAGGTTATTTCCTCAGGGTATTTAAAGCTATAATTCAACTTGGTTTGGGGCACTGATTTTTCTAATGTCCTCACTTCAGACAGCTGTTGGTAGCTACATTCTTTCTATAGCCTTCTGGGAATCCTAACCCACCTATCCTGCTACTAAACATGGATATAGTCCCTGTTGAGGGTCCAAAATCCCTCTAATGCAGTAGATGCCACATGAGCATGCTCCAATAAGCGTGCACTTTAATCTTACACAGAACTTAAGGCTTAATTGCCCTCCACTCTGACCTTAATGGCTATAAGCACATTCCTCTTAACTGTCTTTTTATCCTCTGAGCCAGTCCTAAGCAACCTGCTTCCTCTCTGTGGGACCCTGCCCTAGGCTCTCCGTGTATGATGTGCATCCCCAGAGAAGTGCTTGCAGCCTGCAAAATACTTGCTCCACAATTGAAGAAAACATCATAAGATGAAAAGACTGCCCATGTTCATGAATAGACAGAAATGATATTGTTATAATAACCATATTACAAAAAAATGAGACAGATTCAATAAACTCCCATCAAAATGCCAATGACTTTCTTCACAGAAGTAGAAAAAAAAATCACAGAAAGAAAAAAAAAAATACTCAGACTAGCCAAAGCAATTCTAAGTCAAAAAAGTAATGTGTGCAATTTTAAAGAGAGAAAACTGGGAATTTTCCTGTTCCAGACTGGTAGGATAGGCTGTTCTGTGACTGCAGTCACATCCTGAATGCCTCAGTCATACCATGTCTCAGATTCCTGGGTTTGGAAAACTTGGGTCATAAAGTTGGTCTCTGCTTTGAGGGACTATGACTCTAAATTTAATAAATACTTTCCAATAGAATAATAGACATAGATGAAGCATTTCTTTATACATTCAGAGAGTTAGTTGTTCTGATTCTCTGAAACAGATTTTCCAGTTTAAGGATATTTGAAATCATGGAAGAGAAACATGTTCAAATATCTAAAAAGTTATTTATTGATCCTGGTTGGATTCTTTTTAAAATTTAAAATATGCACATTAACTGGCATGTGAAGACCTATCATTTTAAAGTCCTTGTTTTAGTATCATGTGGACTTGGGAGAGAGGAAAGGGAATTCTTTTGCTCCTGGATAGAAGATAAATAAAAAGGCAGACACAAAGTAACTTCACATTAAAATATGAGCGGGTAGAAGCTCATTTTGAATGTCCCATATCTTATTAAAACAGGTGGGGCCAGGCACAGTGGTACTTGGCTGTAATCCCAGTGGCTCAGGTTGAGGCAGGAGGATCTAAAGTTCAAAGCCAGCCACAGAACTTAGCCAGGCCCTAATCAACTTAGCAAGCCCTTCTCAAAATAAATAATAATAATAATAAAGGGCTGGGGATGTGGCTTGGTGGTTTAGCACCCCTGGGTTCAATGCCTTGTACAAAAAAAAAAAAAAAAATCAGGTGGGAATCTGTTTAAAGTGAGGGTTTGCAATTTTCAAGTAAGTGGAAAAGAGAGTCATAAGGCACTTCAAAAATAAAGACAGAGACCAAAGGTTTATTAACATATTACTTTGTATTTGAAGTTCTTTAAAGCACATATCTAATATATAGAATACACATATTTAATGTGAAATACATTTAATACAAAATACACTTAATGTGTTTTAAAGAATGCATAATAAAAGAGAAAAGCAAAATTATTCTATGCATTATAATAGAAATATAAGTTTTTTGATTATATATTTTCACATATAAAACATAAGGTATTCATTTAAAAAATCATTTACCAGCTTTAGCCAGTCAACAAGCACACAGAATCGTAAGCACCAAAAAATTGCATCTCACTCTCTCACAAAGAAATCTCGTTTGTCTTGGATGTTCAACAAAATCTTCTGTTTTAAAGAGACTCTTTAAATTTTCCGGAACATTCATACTGCACTAAAGTTCTAGTCAACCTCCCAAATTGACAGTTTCATACATATCTGTCTTGCCTTGCTCTGTAAGGCTGAGTCATCAGTGTTTTTTGGTTTGGTTTTGTTTAGTTTTGGTACCGGAGACTATTGAGTTAAGTCCCCTGCGGGTACTTAACCACTGAGCCATATCTGCAGCCCTTTCTCTATTTTTTATTTTGAGATAGGGTCTTGCTATGTTTCTTAGGGTCTCACGAAGTTTCTGAGGCTGGCTTTGAACTTTCAATCCTTGTGCCTTAGGCTCCCATATCGCTGGGATTGCAGGTGTGCACCACCATGCCCAGCTTATCACTAGGTGATTTTCATGGACAGGCATTACTTCTGAGGTCAATTGGAAGGCCCACAGAACTGGGGTTCCTCTAGGGAAACAGATGTAGGACTTCTAAGGCCAAAAGTAACACATGTCCAGCGGAGGGGTAACTTTTGCCCTATTAATATGCATCTCCTTATATTTCTATTTACTAATGCCCTCAAATTCAGATGCCGCCTTCTCCAGATCTGCCTCCCCTTCCAGCTCTGTGGCTTCTATTTGATTCACTGTTAAATAACTGATATAAGTAATAATCAGTAACAGCAATAATAGTGATAGCAACACTTCAGTGGTAAGTCTGCACCAAGAATAGTTAGTTGGAAGTACTTTATTCACTCAGTAACCCTGAGAAGTAGGTAAAACTATTACAAAATCTAATTTTACAATGTGGAAACGAGGCACAGAGAAGTTAGGTAAAGTTCCAGAGGTCACAGAACTAAGTAGCAAACTCAAGATTGGGGCTCAGGATTACACAGCCAGACCCTCCACCATCATGCCATGCTTCTTCCATACTAGTGGCATTTAAAAAATTTAATTGTTAAAAAAAAACAAGTGAATACCTATGTTTTATTTTTTTCTTGTGGTTCAGTGCATCCCATGATCTTATGAGCGGCACTCATCCTGGATATAAACATTTACATACAATCAACAAGTGTTTTAGGACATTATGAGCAAAAGACCCAGAGAATCCTATGAATTAAAATTTGGGTATTTTGTGAAAAGTCCTTCTGTTTGGGGTTTTCTTTTAAAAGTTCTTACGAACAGGTTCGAAAAAACCAGGTTCATGCAGTGCCTCTCTGGAGTTCCAAGAACTGTTTCCTCGCAACTGTGGCTGGGCCACAGGACGCGTATCTTGAGGTTCAGGCCCTTCTTGCAGCAGGGGCCCTCATCACTTCCCTGCTCTGCACATCATCAGGCCTCTCTTTCCTTCCACGTCCCATGCATTTAGAGATTGATGGCCAGTGCTGGGGGGGTGAAGGCAGCATTCCAGTGACTACCATCCAGTGGTTCATAGAAAACAACTCCTTGCACCCTTAAAATCCTCTCGTTCAAATTAATTGTTAGCATTAAAAACTCTTAAAGATGCACCTTCCATGTAAGGCAAAAGTTGATTTGCAAGGTTCCCAGCCTCACACTTGCTGAATCGGCTGATCCATGTGAGCAGCTGCCAGCAGTTTCAGAAGAGGAAGAAAGAAGAGCTCCATTTCTTTTGCATTCCAGGGTTTTCCAGAAGGACCACAGCTCAATGTTTGGTCTTATCCCCAATGACCTAATGACAGATCTCATCTTCGAACTGTGAGCAGGGTGTTCAAAGAGTCGTCTATTTTAAACAGCAGCCTTTGTTATGAGCAGGCTCCTATGCTGCTCCCCAGAACAGCGGGAGTTCTTTCCCATACTCAGCTTTTCTGGAGCTCAATATGCTGAAAAAATAGGCAAGGCTTCTGATTCTCCTTTGTTTGGCTTGGTGGCTTTTGCAGGCATCAAATAAAGAAGATTTTTCCAGAATCTCGAGTCATAGGAAAGAGACTTACCAGCCTTCCACTGCAGCACTCTGTGGGATTTCAAGAGGTTGACTGACTGAGGCAAGAATGAGAACTCACTCGCAGGTGTAAATTCAATTAAGATTATCTTAATTTTTCTTTCCACCAATGCTTCGTGGAGTTCACTTTCAAGTTCATACCTGACTTCATTGGACATGTAACTTCTACTGAGGACAATGATCAGTCTTCGGCTTTTCTCTATCAGTGAATGGATTTCGTCAACAACAGCTGAAAACACAAGGCATGTTGTTAATGGAAGCAGACTAGAAAGGGTGAGCATGTAATAAAGAACTATTTTGCACAGTCTTGTTTTAAAATAAGCCATTCATTCTTGATTTTTATATGCCCATTGAAAACAACCACCTAGGGGCAGTAATAATGATCACGTTCCCAGCTCTCACTCTGTTACTTCTTTTAAAATGTTGCCCATATTAACTCATTTGATCATCATTGTGACCCCATGAGTGAGGAAGGGATTGTTATCACTCCCATTTTACTAAGCCAGAGCACAGGATGGTCAGGAAAATTCCCCAGAGTCACAAAGCCAGTAAAAAGCAAGTTGACTGAATCAGCTTTTGAAAAAGAATATCTCTACTAGGTTTCTGTCTGGAATCCCCTTTGTTACCTCCTCCAGGCACCACATCCCTCTCAAATATGCATAACTTGTACCCAAAGTTTACTGTAATTTGCCTTGAAACGTGTGCTGTGGCTGTTTGTATTTACATATTAGTAAAAACATTGAATTCCCTATGATCTGTTAGGAAAACACTCAAAACCTCCTCTTGCTTATTCTTTACTCCCCTATTCTTTCCTAACTCCCCTATCTTCTACTTTAATTTTCCCACCAACATCAACGCCATAAAGAACAAGCAATTCCTGGTAAGAATTATCCTGCGTATCATTGTGCAAACATCAAGGGTTAAATTAGAAACTGGTTCCAAGGAATAAGTGTTCTTTCTGGGGGTTGTTTCTAGATCAATGTCTCAAGATAATGACAACTCTCAACTTGTCTCTGAAAATAAAATGTCCAACCCTTCTCTCAGAACTTTGCAGAACCATGAGGCAGAACAAATACAGCCCAAGAAAGAGTAGATTGGCAGGCAATACAATAGTTTGTTTTTTCACTGTGAGATAGTAAGGTATTGGTTAACCACATTAATCTGGTTAGCTAAGAACCAAATATTGACGGGTCTGGTTATTTCTGTTCTAAAGAACCTTGCTCATTTATTTTTAAGGAAAAAGGGAGAGCCATCTATCTATATAACTGGCTGACTCAACTTTTGAAAAAGAGTATCTCTACTAGTTTTCTGTTTCGGCATCCCCTTTCTTACCTCCTCCAGGTACCACATCCCTCTCAAATATGCATAACTTGTACCCAAAATGTTTTTCCAACACCCTGGGCAAAGTCTCCACAGCGAAAGTGTACTCTTCTGCATTCTCCGAGCAACCATCTTTTAGGTAAGACACAAAAGCATCATACGTTTTTCCATCTAGGAGATAAAATTAACTCTTTGAATTAATATGTAAATCAAAGTTGTTTTAAGTAAAAGTTGATCTAAAGTCATAATTAGTGAGTACAGAATCATTAAAAAAGGAAAGTTAAAAATAGCATTGCCAAACCTCAGTCGCTAACCAGATATTGAATCAAATGTCTTTGTAAAAATCTACTTTTAAGACTCACGCTCATATCACCGAGAGCTGGAAAGAAATATAAGCCATCAATCAGGGCCATAGAGGGATTTAAAGACAAGAGAAGGCCAAGGAGCAGGAACGTGCCCTCCTTCCAGAAGTGAAAGCGAATCTCACCTTGACTCACATCATTCAATTCTACCAGTATCCTAATCTCTACCCACCAAAGGACTCCCTAAAAAGAAAGATGGAGTCAATGCTGAGTCTCTGTTCACTGCACCAGGAAGAGAAACCATAGAGGTGATTGAGACAGTATGCTAGCAGAACACACACTGATGATTTAAAATATTACAGCAAGTCAGGTGTCAAAAGGAAAACTTCTGACCCATTGAAAGGTTTTCAGTGGTCCCAACAGCTGCCCCTACTGAACTCTTGCTCCGGGAGCAGTTTTCAGATGGCCAACAGACAGATTTGGCAGGCAACGCGTTACCTACATAACAAAGGTCATTCTCCTTACTGGATAGCTGAACAATTACGCAGTTTTCTCTTCAGCTTGATCTGATCAACTTGAGGAGACAAAGGAGACAAGTACAACAACTTGGGAAAAGTCACAATCCACTCATTAGCAGATGAAAAACAAAGTAAAGCAGAATGACAAAGTAACCTGGTCAGAGAATGAAGAGGGATCCCAATGGATCAGCTTTATGAAAGGCGACATTTTGGGTCCGATCCTAAATAATGCAACTAAGGCTACTGGGGATGGGCAAGGAAAGAAGGCACGTGACAGGGGAGTGTTCTATCTCTATCTCATGAAAACTGGGTAGCGGCTGAGATTTATTCCTGGCTTATTATCAGGATCAATGAATCTATGACTGGCTTTAATAAATTTATTGATTAATTTTTTACTAACAGTTTATTGATTATTTATCATACTATTATGGAATTATTATATTATTTATTATTAATCTTTATTTAATGATTAATAATTGCCATAATAAATTTATTAATAAAATTTGATAAATGTAATAAATTTGAATCTTCTGTTAAAATATAACCCAAATTACATTGTTATATCATGTGAATGTACAAATATGTAACAACAAATCCCATCATTATGTATAATTCACCAATAAAAAATATGGAAAAAATATTATGGGATGAAATCATTCTCGATCCATGTCATTTGTCGGGTCACAGCATTTAAGACCACCAGCCCTGTCCAAAATCCTCAATAGCATCAAGCTCACAAAACAACACTTTCCACTGGCAAAAATTGGCTCCATCCTGTCTATTTCATTTTGGATAAACAGCTCAAGTCAGAACCTGTTGTTGATGTAAAGCAATTGCTTTACAGAATTTCATGCATATGAAAGATAGAAAATTTTATAAAGATTGCAGAGTTGCATGCATATTAAAAATAGGAAATGATGTTAAAAATAAAAGTGGTTATTAGTTTAATTAGTAAATAGTTCACCTGGATGATTATCGTAGATTGCTGTACCATATATTTATTTATTAGTTAAGAGCCAGTGCTTCCATTAGTATTGTCATTGATGAAAATAGGCATTATATAACTAAGCACCGTTTACTACTGATTGTAGGAATTACTAATGGTGATTGTTTTACATTCAGTTTATTACTGATCACAATAAACTGGGAAGACAATTTAGTCAAAGATGGATTTCTATTTCAGTGTTGCTCTTACCTATGAAGAATCAGTTTTTCAACTATAAATTGCTTTCAATTTTTCTTTTTTCAAACAACTCTCTTCTTGTAATATAAATCTGCAAATCTATGTTACAATTTATTGTAAATCCAGGTAATGAAAGATTTAACAGCTTTAAAATTTGACAAAGAGCTCAAGATAAGAAATGTAGGGCTGGGATTGTGGCTCAGTGGTAGAGCTCGCTGGCCTAGCAAGGGCGCGACCTGGGTTCTTCGATTCTCAGCACCACATAAAAAAATAAATAAATAAAAGGCATTGTGTTGGGCTGGAGTTATGGCTCAGTGGTAGAGCACTTGCCTAGCATGTGTGAGGCACTGGGTTCAAACCTCAGCACCACATAAAAATAAATAAACAAAATAAAGGTATTGTGTCCATGTGCAACAACAACAACAAAAATTTAAAAAAAAAGAAATGTGAAAGCTAACGATGTTTTTTTTTTTTATTCTGAATAAAGGAAATCATCATGTGAGTGGATATTTGAAAAAAACAAGGAGTTAGTTACATCAATGCCTCTTAAGCTATGTGTGGTTAAAAGCATGTTTTAATTAAAATTGTTTTTGTTGTTGTTGTTGATTAGTTGATTTCATTTCCAACCTTTCAGAAACCAATATTAAACACACTCTTGGATATAACAGCAATATTAAACTGGTATAAAAGTTTTTATTTTTATCCTTTAATCTCCATTTCTGCCCTTTTCATGGACTGCATCTGCTGACAGACCACACTTTGAGTAGAAGTGGTTTAGAGCACATCTCTAAATGTCTCTGTATAGTGCTGTGTGGAGAGTTAAAATTATGAACAAAAAAAAAGAAAGTCTGTAAATCAGATCAAATACACTGGAAAGAAAAAAAAATCCTAGATAAAAATCAGAAAGACAAAGAGTTATTAATGCCTTTTCTAGGATAAATACCAATTGATTCTAGCCATGACAGTGCAGGAAATACCAAACACAGACCTCCCAGTTTGCTGCGGCCTCTCACCTCATAGCAAAATCATACGCACATGCAGGCTGACTTTGCTAGTTTTATGTCGTCAGACTAAAAGTCCTAAGTGAGACAAAGAAATTGATAAAAATCTCAAAGGATCCAATATAAAAAATTCCTTTACCTGGGGTCCATAGGTAGAAGGCCCTTTGTACTTTAAACCCCAAATCCAGAGACCAAAAAGATATAGTAGAGTCTTCCATATAGCACACCAAATAAGCAAAGTCAAAGGACAAATGACAATATGGGAATATTTACATTTCTTATTATAGAAAATAGGCAAATAAAAAGCTCCCAGAACAGTGAGCCAATTAAAAAAAAAAAAAAAAGCTATCAGCCCAATGGAAGAAGAAACAAATGATATGAGTAGGTATATTGTAAATGAAAACACAAAGAAGTCTTAAACAAATGAAGAAATTGCTCATGCTCTTGCATAATAAATGCAATGGAAATTAAAACTATACCACAGGGACACAAGTCACCTATCAGATTAGTAAAAATCCAAAAGGTGGTGGTGTGTGAGACTATGGGAAAAAAAAAATGTACTCTCATTCTTTGAAAGTGGTAATAACAGTGGTATGGAGGGCAAAGTTACAATATCTACCAAAATAACAGCTGTGTCTTCCTTTTGTATTGCCAGAAATATCACTTTGGGGAATTTTTTCCTTCCAATCACTGCACATGTAGGAAGCCATTCCTCACAGAATTTCTGTAGTAACAGACAATTGGAAACAACCCAAATACCTGTCAAATAAACATGGGGACTTCCACAGACATAAAACACTGAACAGCACTTAGAAATAAGGGGCATATATATAAAGTGATATGGAGGAATACCTAAGGAATAATAAAGCAGATTACAATAGTACGCACAATAAACCAAGATTTGTTTTTTATAAAAGGGGGAGTGAAACAAGAATCCATGTTAATATTCAATTGGGTGTGTATCAGTGGGGCAGAGTGGGAATCACAGACATGGGACAGGGGTGGGCAGGGGATGCCCAATTGTGTAATTTCTTAGAATTTTAGTGTTTGAAATACATGAAGGGTTTTTTTTTTCCTACAGTCAGACAAATATATCTATAAACAAAAGCCAGTGAAATCTATTAGCTTGATTTTTTAAAGCTCAGTAATTGTAAGGACTTCAACTCCTTTTAAATACAGGGAAACTTAGTTTTAGAGTCCCCAGGTAGACATAATAGCAGGTAAGACTGGTAGATTTAGGAGACAAGAACCCAGATAATTTGGCTTCTAGTTTCGCATTCTTACAGGTACATTATACAGCCTCCTATTCCAGTTCAAAATAATAAAACATAACAATGCAATTCCACATAAGCAAGCTTTATTGAGTATATGCACTGGGTGAGATCAGTAAGTGGTATGTCAACAAAGGCATCCATATGTGCAGTTCCTGGACTCAAGTGTCACATGCAGGACAGGACATACATACGTGAAACAATTAAAGAACAATTTTTGCAAACATACAAGCACAAGCAATGGTCACATGATAGATAACATGCATGATGGAGGGTACATGTGGAGTTACTTTTTCATGGAAAAACTCTCCTAAAAATTAAATCAACAGTACAATCCAAATAAGATGAATGTCAATGTTTCCCTATTGGGTTTACTAACTTCATCATGAAATAAGAAGTCTCAGCGTTATGACAGTTGTTACCTTTTAGTGTTTCATCTCTTCTCATTAATTTTCTATAAAATAGAGCCAAGTCAACTCTATAGATGATACCCATAATCACTAGGCACACTACCACCACCGAGATCAAAATTGCTACAATCATTCCTCCAGTGAAGATGTCGCCTGGGATGTCATCTTTGCTTGCTACAAAAGAAAGAGAAAAAGGAAATAATTAATCCAAGAAATATCACCAGCATCTTCCACCATCACATTGTGGTTGTCAGTTTCTGCCTTTCTCACTAATTCGGGTATCCACCCAAGTTCACCCACATTCCATCAAACAATTCAAATGCCTGCTGTTAGTCTGCAGTACTCATCTATTCAAATTTCTAAAGAATTGAAATATGTATAAGAATATCCAGAAACCTGAACTGAAAACATTATAACATACTCTGCACCTAGAGAATTCAGATTTCTGGGACAATGATAAACTAGGGTGAAATACAAAGGACTCAAATAGAAATCTCAGTTGGTATTATGGTTTAGATGTGAGGTATCCCCCAAAAGTTCATGTGTGAGACAAATGCAAGAAGGTTTAGAGGAGAAACAATTGGGTTATGAGGGTCTTAACCCAATCAGTGAATTGATACCCTCATGGGATTAACTGGGTGGTGCCTGAAGGCAGGTATGGTGTGGGTGGAGAAGGTGGGTCTTTGGTGGCATGTCTTTGGGGTATATATTTTGTATCTGGCCAATGGAGTCTCTCTCTCTGATTTCTGATCTTCACGTGAGCTGCTTCCCTCTGCCATACTCCTCCACCGTGATGTCCAGCATCACCTTGAGCCCTAAGAAATGGAGCCAGCAGTCTATGAATTGCGACCCCTGCAATCATGAGCCCCCAAATAAACTTTTCCTCCTCTACAATTATTCTGATCATGTCACAGTGACAAAAAAGCTGACTAAAACTAAAACTAAAAAACCTTTTGGTAAGCAGAAAATGGAAAATGGAAATGCAAGGTTTTGACAGAACCCAGGACTGAGATTATCTGGGTTTGCAGCCTTGGCTCCATCAATTAGTTCGTATCAGAGGCAAAATCATAGAGACTCCCCAATCTTAGTATTTTCATCTTTAAAAATAAACTAATAAATAAAGTTACTGCTTTACTTATTTTGGGGAAGATATTATACACAAAGTAGTTAACACAGTGCCTGGCACAAAGTCCTCAAAATTTGAGCAAAATTTCATTAGAAAACTGCCTTTGGGGGAAAAAGTTACATTTCCTAGAGTACTCAGTTTGGGCTCATTGTATGAGATAATGCAGAGGAGTACAAAGAGTAAACTAATTTTAACAACCATCCCACAATGTGGTGATAGCCATAGGTAGACATGTTTATCCATATTTCTGATTATTCTAATTTTCTCAGAGTAGATTCTAATTCACAGAATACAAACATGTTTAAAGTGTTTGCCATCTTAAGCAGCACAATATTCAGTGATGACCTTTCTAGTAAAATTAACTTTTAGGATGCAAGTAAGCAACTAAAGTTATTTAGTAAGTGTATCTGAATAAAGTCAGGCCCTGGAATTCCTAAACCTTTGAAGTGTCTACATAGTCAAGACTGTGACAGACACATATACAAACACATGCACCCAGGTCCACAACTTTCCTCCAGGGGAAAGGGTGGGTTGGGAGGCCCTAATTCCCCAGCCTGTATTTTTGAGCTCAACATAGGGAGAATTGATCAGGGCAGGAGGAAGGAGGAAGAAGGACAGTTCTGCATGGAGGGTGGAGGTGGCTGGTGGCCAGCAGGCAGCCAGGAATGCAGGCAAGTCTGTGTGTCAACCAGGAGAAGCAGATTTGAAAGCTTCTGCCTTGCAAGTGCATGAACATGGCAGAGGTACCCGCAAGGGAAGGGACCTGTCGATGTGAAGAAAAGCACCGATTCCAGAGTCAATCAGTTCTGGGTTTTAATACCTTTACTTGCTATGTGACCTTGAGCAAGTTTCTTCAATTATAAAAGCTTGTTGTTGAGATGGGGTGAAATCATAGAAAGGGCTGAGCACCAAGTCTGTCACAGAATCAGCATGTAATGAACGTGAGCTTCTGCTCTGACTGCATGTGGGAGAACAAGGGCTTCCCAACAGGGTGCTTGGGGAGATGCAAACGGACCCTGGGGCAGCACAGAGGGTCCTGACCCTTGATTCTCTCTGCCTCTCCCTTCGGCCTCAGTTAAGCTTTCTGAATTAGCTACCACCCCCAAGGGCCAGCTGAGCCCAGGACCCTGCTACAGGGGGCTGGAGGAAGCAATTATGCCTGATGTGCAATGGGCTCCTTCCACACTGATCTGCAAGCTCTTCTCTGGTTGTCATGGATGTGAAGGATTGGGTGTGCAAAGGCTGATCTGACTGCCCCCCCCCCCCCGAGACCTATCAGCATCTGCGTGCCCTAGCTTTACCTGCCTCCCTGCTCTGTCTACCTGGTCTCTGTGGTTTGGAATATGACTGTGAGAGCAAAGGTGTAAACTCTGTGTTTTCATTCTGCTTGGGATCACGACACAGAGAATCCCAGCAAGGGCTGAGCACTAATCCTGCTACTGAATGCCTGGGACGTAAGATGAATCTTGTCACCTCTCAGAAGCCTGGTTCTACTATTTAAAAAAAAAAAAAAAAAGGAGTGTCTGACTCAGCAGCTGTGTGCTGTTTCTACAAGCTTCCAAACATACCTTTTCTCAACAAGATAAACGTACTGGTGTCTGTTTTTTCCTGATTGACCACAGTGCAATTATATGAAAAATTTAGATTGTTTTCCTTAACTTTCTCAATTCTCAGTATTGTTGAAGCATAAGATTTGCCTTCTGAGATCCTGTAAGAAGAAAATGATTTAGCAAGAGGCTTTATTCATAATCAGCAAATTTTACCCAGGAGAGGGAATTCATATTCAAATGCAGGTACTACATTGACTATGTCAAATCTTCTCATTCTGATAGATACTCTTAAAGCGTGAGCTACAATAAGCCTCCTGCTCTCCGTGGAGCCTCATAATCAACAGAAACAGTCCTCCTGAGACCAGCTGGAATAATGTTATCAAGAATCTAGAATTTAAATGCCAGGAAGATAATGATGCAAAGTTGAAAATACAAGAAAATATACTAATTATCAATTATTTTTCCTATTTCTCTCCTTCTTCCCACAAAGTGTTTGCCACTCATTCTGACAAGGCAATTGTATTGGGTAGCTTTTATTACTATAACGAAATACCTGGAACAGGTAAATTTATAAAGGAAATAAGTAGCCCATAGCTTTGGAACTCTAAAAGTCCAAACAGTATGGCCAAGGTTCTAGGAAGGAAACCCCTGAGCTTTGTCACACATGATCCCTTTATCTTAGGGATCATGTGTGCATTTCCACGTGTATTCCTCTCTTCTCCTTATAAAGCCACCGAAATTCAGTTATGGGGACTCCACTGTAATGACTTACTCTAATCTAATTGCTTTGAAAACATGTTACTTCAAAATACTACTGTTGGTTTAACTGTCTTCCCCATCAATATCATTAACAAGACTGGGAATTAAACTTTTGCAGGAGTTCTGAACACAAATAATATACAAACCAGAGCAACTGTAAACTGTTGTGCACGATACAGATTCATATCCAGAGTATTCAATCACTATTCTCAGATACCATGGGCACAAGAGAAATATCAGCTAAGCTGTTCAGATACATCAGAAAATGACTTGAGACAACCACTGGTAGCAAGCTGTCTTCCTCTTCCTCAAATGGTCCAAGCTTTCCTTTCACTGATGTGATGCAAACACTCATGACAATGTTCACTTCCTCCATGCTCTGAGGGCATGTTAGGCAGCACACTCTTGTGTGGGTCCTGGGACATGGAGCCCCACTGAAGCCTCTGACTGTCTCAAATACATCTTAGAACACAATTCAGTACAGAGTTCACCCATCCAGAAATACTATCTATCTCCAACCTATGAAAAAATCCATAAGTGAGACACAAAAGGCTTTGGGAAGCCACAAGGGATGACATTTAAAGCTTGTGCAGACTACTCTAAGACCTTCTGCTCTTGTAGGTAACGTTTCAATTCTAAGTAGCCTGGTGAGTTGTTCTACTATCCCTCCAAATATTAGAAATGCATCATTAGAAGGAGGAAATGTAAAAAACTTCAATGGAGGATGGTTGCTGAGGATGAAACACCAGCAGGAAAGCCATGCAATTAATTCAGCTAAATTCTACATGTATTGGGCACTAACCATGTGCCTGCTCTGGAAGACCCAGACCTTGCAGTGCTAAGAACTTACAGATCAGTCACGAGGCTGACAAAGAATATGCTAAAAAAGTAAAAATTCAGGAAAAAAAAAAATCAGAGTGCAGCTTAAGTGATAGGTAAGATCACCACTCCCTGGACCCCAAGGAGTGTACTCATATAATAATTAATCATTACAATATAGTCCAGGGTCATTCAACCATCTGTTCAGTAGTTTTTGTTGTAGTAAGTCTGGCCATACTTTCATGTAAGAATAGACTGTTATGGTTTAGGTATGACTGTTATGGAGGTATCCCACAAAAGCTTATGTGCGAGAAAATGATAGAATTTTCAGAAGTAAAATGATTACATGATGAGAGGTATAACCTAACCAGGAGATTAACCAGCTGATTTGGATTAATTGAGTGGAAGCCTCAGGCAGGTAGGGTACGGCTGGAGAAGGCAGTTCATTGGGGGTGTGCCTTTGGAATAGATGTTTTGCCTGTGGAAAGTGGAGCTTTCTCTCTCTCTCTTTGCTGTACCCCTCTGCCATGATGTTCTGCCTCATCTCAGGCTCAGACCTATGGAGTCGGCAATTTCCTCCTCGACATTGTTCTCATCTAGGTCTCTGGTCACGGTGATACAAAGCTGACTAAGACATAAACTATTTGAGTATCAGTATGTATGGGATTTTGGCACATTGGTAAAAATGAAGCACCGAACACATTTTTCAAAATCCCAAAACAATGAATCCTAGGTAATTGCTCTTTTGTAAGAAAAAAAGTACAATCCCACCTACCTAGGACCAAAATAACCACTATGACAAGGTGATGCTAAAAACCCCCATGGACCTTGTTTCTATAACATAGATGTTGGCAGTAAATTTCTTCATATTTCATCAATCTAGGGTATGGAGATCATAATGCTAAAATATATACATTGTTGTAATTTAAACTAACCCCAAACACTACATCAACCACTTAGGAATTCTGCATCTTTTATATCATATATACACACACACATATATATGATATAAAAGATATATATCATGATTTTCCTATCATATGTATTATGATATATTATATATCACATAATGCTTACCATGTTTTCTTTCCTTCCTCCTGTATATTACTAAATTGGTCCATTTCTTTCCAGAAGCTCCAATAAATTATGTCGTTTTCATTCATCAAAGCCGAGCAATTCAGCTGTACAGTTTTTCCTAGATAAAAGTTGAAAACAACCATTGCAATTTTAGAAACTCATATTTCCCAGAGGTTTCAAATTAATAAAATCAATGAATGTTAACTCAATGTAAAAAAACTGCACTACATTCCAGAAAGAGAACAAATATGCTTTGCTTTTAAATAAAAAAAATAAAAATAAAGTAGAGGAATTGGATAGCAATGACAAGCTATGAACTGAATTATAAATATTAACTTTTAAATCAATTATTAAAACACAGGGTCATTAGTGGACTTTATGTTTAGTACACGATTTATTAGGTACTGTCAAGTCAATTTATAAAAAAACAAAATTAATAAGTTACAAAAATTAAGTTAACTAAAAATTAAAGTTATCAGAGTGCAGGGGAAAATAAAGAGAAATAGCCAAAAAAAAAAAAAAAAAGATACATAAAAAAAGCATAGTCAAAAAAGACATCTCCAAGGGTGAGCAAAGATGATCAGCCATTTTATTCCATGAGGAATTTGTTTGGGTTTGGGATAAATAGAAGGGATATCATAGCGATAAGAGAATCCAATGGAGATTTTGTCAGCTGCACAGGCTTGCAGGATTATCGCTAAAGCCTTGGGCAGCATCGGAGGCCACAAAGACTGTCATCTTTCTGGTACTTAGGAAAGCAAGTTCCACTCTAGGAAAAGGCCTATAATAAATACAACTGCAGTGTTCTCCCCCACCCCCATTATTGGTAACCTAGAACACCGCATCCCAGACACCCTAGCTCCATTATTAGTGAACAGAGATATTCAGCCCCTCACTCTGCCTATCTAACAGAAAAAAAAAAAGAGTCATAGCAAGAAAATAATGCAAACTTCATTCATTTTGGTTGTTTAATTTATGAAGATCAATAACAATAAATAATTCAAAGACACACAAAGAGGAAGAAAACGTGACAATAATCAATAGAAAATATAGATGATAGAAGCAGGTCCAGAGATGATAAAGACTTAGAGAAACTATTTACAAGAAAACAGAGGAAACCATGAACAAGTGAATAAAAGAATGACATTTTTAATAAACGAGAGTAATTCATTTAAAAAGAATAAACATTTTTATATCAGGTATATAACCAACCATAATCAGTAATTTCTTAAATATAAAACAATGTACTGATTGGACTTCAAAAAAGGTTCAAAGATATGCAGTTTATGTAAGACAGAATTTACGCATAAGGACAAAGAAATTTCAGAAATAAATGGATTTAAAAATAAATAAAACAGGCCAATCCCCAAACCAAAAACACTGTCTTGATTATTTCATACCAGAGAGCCTAGGCACTGAGGAAGGACGCATTATGAAAGCTATAGACAGACATCACATAGTGATGAAGGTGTCAATTCAACAGGCACAGATTTATATGTGCCCATATTCTATCTTCAACACAAAGAAAGCAAAATTTGACAAGAACCATAGAGCATGTAGACAAATTGACCATCACACTTAGAAATCTTAATGTATCTTTCTCAGAAAGAGATAGAGCAGGAAAACAAAAGATGAGTAAGGATGTAAATCATGTAAATAATACCATTAATTGACTTAACCAATTGACACTTAAGAGTGATATAACCCAAACCTGCAGAATACATCTTTGTTTCAACTACACTTGGAACATTCATCAAAATAATCCCTATCCTGGCCTTTCAGCAAATCACTATAAATTTCAGAAGGTTAAAATGAGAGTCTCTAATCATGGACTATAGTGAAACTAAATTGAACATCAATAACAGGAACATGACTAGAAAATCCTCAGACATTTGGAAATTAAGAACAAAAATAAGCCATGGATTAAAGAAAAAAATCACAAGGGAATTATTTTTTAAAATGTTTGAAACAAAATAGTATTACATATGATATACCAATTCTTAGCAGAAGTAGCTAAAAATAGTACTCAGAAGGAAATTTAGGGCATAAAATGTACATACTATTAGGAAAGTAAGAAAGCAAAAAGCCCACCCGGCCCATGCCTGTAATCCCAGCAGCTCAGGAGGCTGAGGTAGGAGGATCACAATTTCAAAGCCAGTCTCAGCAAAAATGAGGCTCTAAGCAACTCAGTGAGACCCTGTCTCTAAATAAAATAGAAGATAGAGCTGGGGATGTGGTTTAGTGGTTGAGTGCCCCTGAGTTCAATCCCCAGTACTAGAAAAAAAAAAAAAGAAAAAAGCCCAAAATGAGAGGAAAGAAATAATATAGACATGGACTAGAATCAATAAAAATAAAAAGCAGACAAAGTGCAAGTACAGAGGACATCTTATCTGACAGGCTCCGGGCATGCGTTATCATATGAACTACTATGACCCCAACATTGATTCCAAGCTGTGGACTTTGGAAGCAATGACAGAGACTATGATCCCCACTCTTCCACTTTCCAGCAGTTTAAGTTTAGACAAGTTACTTAGCCTTTCTGTATATCTGTTATTTAATCCATAAAACATGTCTAATACCCATCTGAGTTGATTAGAAAATCTAATTCAAATAAAGTATTTCAATCACTTAGCCAATACCTGGGTTAGCACATTTAGCAGATGTGAATTTCTGCCTTTTTTTTTTTTTTAACTTTCCTATTTGAAAGAAATGGCTCAACTGGACATGTTGATTCATAAGACCTGTCAAACAAATCCTAAATCACAGCTGATGTGGCCCATTGATTCCAAGTGAATTAATTAATTGAATATTCAAAGCACAAAGCCAGTTTGACTCATCTCCCCAGAGTGTTATCGCCAAATTTTCCTATTTAGAAATGACCTTGGAGACCATTAGAGAAAAGCCACACACAGGGTGACAGAAATCCTAGTCTAAAAACCATAGACAGTGCCACAGTCTTTTGAACAGACTGTCCATTTTAATCAGTCTAAAGATGGCAACATTCAAAGACATGCTTTTCTTGATTTTGCAGTGCTAGTACTCTTTACCAAATATGGAGTGTATTGTGCACATGATGTCAATTAAAAATGAATGAGATTTGCCCCTTGAAAACCCAATTATGCCCCATACTCATAAATACAAGAAATATACATATTAAAAATATACCTAATTCCACTTCAACATAATTAATCTTTGGTCCAATAAGAACGGGAGCCATATTCTTCTGACCTAAATGTGAAAAAGAAAATAAAAAGATCAACTTCTCTGTCACAATAGGCTCATTCCATGTAATAAAAACCTTAATATACCAGTCCCCTATATCTATGGTTTGCTTTCTGCAATTACAATCTCACCCAAGGCCCACTGTGGTCCAAAATTATTAAACAGAAAAATCTCTAAACAGTTCATATAATCTGAATGATGTCACTCTCAGGTGCCAACCCTCCTTGTACAGGACACAGAGAGGAGATTCCCTTCAGTGTCTTGTCCTGGTGACGCACTCGGCTCAGCCCAGACCCAGCCCTGCTGGGGTCCACACCTGAAAGTCCGCTTCTACTTCTGATCCTGAGAGATTTCCATCCCTGACTAGAAGAATACAGTGGTGTCCTGCTCGGCCCATCTGGTCATGCTTAGATAGGAGTGCATCACCCAGCAGCCTCCCACTGTATGCTAGCGTGCAGCCTAAAGCAGCTGAGAACTGCAGAATGCTGAGAAACACCACTGTCTCATTGACTGAAGACAAAATGTTAGAGAGAAGCCAAGCAGCCCAGGGTCACAACCTCACTGTCATGAAGACGGTAAGGGGCAGTTGAACTAAAGCAGCTGGTGCCATCTCTGCCATTTAATAATAGATATTCCTGTTGCTTCTTCAAGGAAGGAAGGAAAGAGGTGGTGATGGGCAGAAAGTAAAGATGATTGGGGGAAAGAAGAGGGGGTGACAATATCAAGGGGCCAGAGGTTTATAGGAAATGAAAATATACCCATGAGAAAGTAAAGCTCAAGAATTTATAGTCGATAATTACAATAGAATTTAAGACTTTGGAGTTTAGGAATTCAGGGGTGGCATTCCCAGCTAATGGCCACAGAAGGCAGATTAATAGTTCCCACAGTGAATAAATCCCACTCCGCAGGTAATGAGGTCACGAGGGCTGCACTTTAAAAAACGATTAATATTATCATTGCTGGAGTGGGTTGGTTGTTGTGGGAGTGGGATCCTGATGAGAAGGATGAGTCCACTCCCATTTTCCTCTGCTCACACATGCTGGACTGCCCTCCTGCCTAGGCCTGATGCAGCATGAAGACCCTCCTCAGATGTGGCCCTTCCTCTGGGAATCCCTAGCCTCCTCAAGTAAACATCTGTCATTTACCATGGGTCTACTCTGTGGTACTCTGTTATAGCAAAGGAAGTGGATGAAGACACGGATTTTGTAGACAAGATTAAGTGAAGGATGTTGAGATGAAGAGATGATCCTGGATTATCCAGGTGGACCCTGAATGCAATCACAGGTGTCCTCAGAAAAGAGAGACAGAAAGTCACAACATGATGGAAGCAAAATTGAGAGAGAGAGAAGACTCGGTGGTCCTCTGCTCTTGGCTCTGAAGATGAACTGATACGATCCAAGACTTGCAGATGGCCTCTGGAAGCTGGGGAACATTCTCCCTTACAGCCTCCAGAAGTGGCTCAATCCTGCTGAAACTCTGATTTTAAGCCCAGTCAATCTACTCTGGAGTCTGACTTCCATAACTGTAAGATAATAAATACATGCTACTTGAGGACAGACACTAGGCTTGTGGCACTTTGTTACAGTAGTAGCACATGGGTATATAGCCATATATGTGGATAGTTAAAGAGGAAAGATTTTGCTAAAGTTGATATGTTACCAATATTTCATGTATAGCTAATTAAAGCAAATTTTTAAAAAAGAAAGAAAACTGAACCCACAGATTTGGCTGGATGAGTTACCCACCCAAAGTTTTAGTTTTCCAGGATGGTGGGG